ATTAATTTTATATTATTCTTTCTAAAAACTACCAGCTTGACTTGTTGAAATGTTTTTTTTTCTTATAAATTAAATGGGAATTTAGGTAGTAAAATCAGGATTCCTTTTTGTCAGTGTCCTTGTAGCCTTGTGTGCTGTGTGTGTAAGCTCTTGTTTTTGTGTGTTTTTGTGCACTTTACGACTTTAATTATGTAAGTACATAATTGTGTTATTATCGTAAGCTTGCCGAGCGCAACACATGCCGTGTCCGGGTCTGGGGTTCGAGTCTGTGGGTCTGTGGGTCTGGGGTTCTGTGTCCGTGTCCATGTCCGTGTCCGTGTCCATGTCCACGTCCGTGTCCATGTCCGTCTGCGTCGTCGGGTCCTGATCCCGGTCCGCGTTTTGGTCAGACAGTGTGTGCTCTTGCTGTGACCTCGTCTGGCCGCTTGGCCAGCATTTTACGGCCATTAAGTCTGGCAGTGGCAGTGTCTTTTTGGTGCCACACCCCCACACCCCCAACCCCTCCAACTTCCTTTTTTTACCCAGCTTACCATCTTTTAAGGGCCCCTGCCCTGTTTTTTTTTTTCAATGGCCTAACCTTTGGGTTCTGCTCCACTGTTTACATTATAATCCCTCACCCATGCCAAAAACCATTTTGTCTGCTCATTGTTTTCTTATTATTTAAATTACGAAATTCTGCTTTTAATTATGCATTGTGTTCCGCTTCTTCTGCTTCTGCTTTTCCGCCATCCATTAGGAGCAATTTTCCGAAAATTTGAAACTCCGATTATTGGTAGACATTGCCTGACGCAGCTTTAAACTCAATTTTCTTCTGCTTTTCGCCTTCAATTATTTTCTTTTAATTAAGACGTGTTTGTGTGTGTATGTGTGTTTGTGTGCAATTCAATTATCGCTTTGATAAATATATGTAAAAATTGCCAACATCTGAGGCTGACAAATGAGACTTTTCTCGATTTTTCCATCGCTCTGCGCGTCATTGTTTTGTTTTGTTTCTTTTCCCCCCAACTTTGTTCTGCGTGGGTAACTAAAAGCCAAGGACATCGAATTTCAAAGAAAAATTTCCCAATCGCATAAGGGCAGGAGAGCACAAAAAAAAAATAAAATGAACTTGCCCAACAGGTGGAATTGAAGGGGAGAAGTTAAGCTCCAAGGCTACCAAAGCTGCCGGAAAATAGTTCCATCTGCCCCTGCTATTCTGTCCTTGCTCTGATATACCCAGATCAATATCCATCTCCATCTCCGTTTTGGGACAACTTCGACGCTCTTCTCGCTTGTAAATTATTATTAAGTGCTTTTCATTTCCAGCTTGCCATCATCCAATAACCAGAGCCAAAACCAAGACCTATTCCTCGTTTGTGTCGACTTGAGCGGCAATTCGTCAAAGTCAAAATTGCGACAGTGGAAATGATAATACTTCTGCAGCCCTCGTCGGCTGCAAAATATTGTTTGGGGCACGGACTGCGGAGTGTGGAGTCTGCGGAATGTGGCGTGCCTGCTGGCAGGACGGAAATAAATTGTTATTAATGTGCCTGTGTGTGCCTGTGGCTCTGCCTGCTCCTCCTGGTTACCCTCCTGAATCTCCAACCGAACCCACCTCCGAATCCCTGGGCCTCGTCCACAGTCGATAAATTATTTGGTAACGCGCGCCAAACTGCAAATATCTTTATGCGGGGGCGAAAGCCCCAATAATGCGAGCCCATTTAATGGGCTGGCCACTTGTTGGATGTTGGATGCTCAATGTTGGAGCGGCTCCATCATCGAGATCCGCCAGCCATAAAGTGTTTACGGCCAGCGCTCAAATTGATTTGTGCCCAGCACGAATCAAATCAATTGCATTAGCTGACTCTCCTCCAGGGGCAATCATAACTGGGGCTGGGCAGGGTGTCCTTTGGCTTCCTTTGCCGGTCATAAAGCGGAAACGGCCACAGTTCGCCGGGCAGGAGATGATGAGCAGCGGGCGAAGGATGTCCATAAAAAGCCAGGCAAGGACACTCGGCTAACCACCAGGCAAACACCACCACCCGTCGGCAGGAGGACTCCGCATCCAGCAGGAACCGCTAACCGTCGAGGCCATACATCCACATCCACATCCACACCCATACTTATACCCATCGCCATCGCCATATCGGGAATCCTTCGCAAGACGCCCCCAGGACTCGTTAAATTGCGTGCAGCATCCTCTCCTTTTTTCGTCCTCGCAGCGGGTGGCCGCAGCTGTGCACAGAAAGAAAAACGAGACTGTTTCTGGAACTCGTTAAAAAGTTTTCCAATTACCATAACTGAAAAATATTGACAAGAAATCGTTTCCATTTGGCCATTAACATTTAAAATTAAACATTGCCATTAATGGTATTTTTTCACCTCAATGAAAGAAAAAAAATTCAAAGATATTTTTCCCAATCTCGGGTTTTACAAACTTAAGCTAACTATATTCTTTAGTTATCCCGATCCCCTTTAATAACAAAAAAAAACGTAAAAAGTAGAATAACTTATGTTTTTGAAAATCATTATTTATTATTAATTTATTTATTGAACAACAATTTACTGAACAGAACCCAAACTTCTTTTGGTGCTGCGATGTCAGCTGTTAGGAACCTATTTTATTAAAAATTTATTTCAACAAAAACGAATCAAGCTTCAGCAATCCGAAGTTTTATACCCTAACAACAATGAAGATATGTCGATTTTCCAATACATTTTTGATCTTCCTATTGCAGCTATATAATATAGGCGTCCGATTTTTATAAAAAGAAGAATCCATTTCTGAAATTGTCTATAATTACTAAACAATTACAAAAAAAAAACAAAATTGTTTTCTCATATACTTTTCCGATTGATTTAAGGGATTCGATCCGGCTCGTTCCGGCTTACATATATATTACCTGTAATAAAAATAAGATTTTTGGAAAAGTTTCATCCTAATAGCAAATAAACTGAGAGACTAGAAGATACGGACGGACTTAAGGACATAGTTAGATCGACTCTCATGGTGATGCTGATCAAGAATATATATGCTTTACATATTAACATTACAAATTCGATTAGTTTATTCACGGCTGCCATAAATATTATTAAGAATACCTTCTATTTTCGTAAGTATAAGTTCAAGAAGCTGACTTTTTTTTTTCTGAGTGCACCCACCTCTTCGTCCCTGTACCCCGCCCCTTTGGTAACGGTTGTCGTTTATTTGCATTTGACTGTGCGCAGTGGGCAAAGTATTCAAAACAGATTTGTTGGCCAGATTGTACAGCGCTAACAGTTCATTACCCAAATGACTGTGGGCCAAAAGGAGCGGGCGCGGCGCGATTTGGTTGAAAAGGTTTCATTACAATTTCGGGCACTCGCCGAATGGAAAACTTTTTCCCACCTCCTCCGCAGACTCAAGCTTCCCACTCTGCTGTAGTTTGAGATTTGATTTAAAAGTTGGGGACCAAGTTTTAACCGCCTTCGAGGGGCGGGGAAGAAGGTGGGGATTTGTGGGCGTGGCTGGGCGACGCCTGCTCTCAAGGGAATTGCAAACTTTTAAATAGTTATTCATACAAAATCATTTACGAGTGCCCTGCTCCTTGACTGCCTTCATGTGGGGAACGTATATGTTACATATGTGCATATGCTTAGCAAACGGGGGGAAAAAAAGGCGACTGAAAATGAGGAAACTTTGTTCGGAGTTCCTGAGTTTGATCGCCAGTTCTTCTGGCGGAATAATTATGCACCAATATAATGTGGCCTCTTTGAGTCGCAGCTGGCCAGTTGACCGATGTTTCGCGTGATTGATGAAGCTAAAGTCCCACCAATCCGCCAATTCTCCAGCCAGGACTTAAGTCCACTCAGTGAAGGATATCCTGGTAACCCCCCCCCATCACCAATCCCCACTTAAGATACGCACCTGCCATCCTGCGGAGCAGTTAAATGAGAAAATAACTTGGATGCGGCCATAAATTCATTTCCGCCCTTTGTTTAATTTCCTTCGCTATCCGAAAAACTTTTCGCTACGCGCGAATTCATATGTAATTACAATTACGACGCAATCTCAGTCGTTCCGTGGAGGAATGGCATGTGGACCCACCTGCCCACCTGTCCACCTGCCCACCTGCCCATTCCCGGGTCAGGGTCAATGCCGAGGTCGCTCTGGAGTGCAAAAGTTGACTGTGTTACGTACACCACGTGCACCTGATACTGAGGTGGTGAATTGGCGGACAAGTTGATTCAATTAAAGTTTTTCGCATGGCAATCGATAGGCCAGACATCAAAGAACAATGGGCCGACAAAGCCCTACCCCTTCCCCCAGTCTAATTATAAAATCAATGGACATAGTTCGACCACTCGGAACACCACCCAGCAATACCAAATGTCAGTCATTGAACTCTGTGGAGTGTTCTGATAACCCCGATTTTTAAAATGTAAAACGATTGTTGGTTAAACGGCTCCTTCAATGACTCAAAAATCAAATCAATTATTTAGGGGCTACTTACTGGAGTAAAAAGGCATTATTATGCTTTCTAGCTTAGTCATTCGATAAAAACTAGCGCAACAAATTAGGACAAAAAAAAAATATTTAATTTTTAGGGTAGTTAAGAAGTTTAAAATCACCTATATATATCATAAAGAAAACCTTATGGGAAAATGTATATTAAAAAACCATCTTTAGAATAGAAAGATCTTTGGTAAAACTTTTCTTGTCCTAACCTTTAGTAAAACTTAAAAAATTGATTAACAAACTGTTTGTAAGATTGGAGTACTATGCTAGAAAAATATTGCTCAAAGTTCGCGTTGTTAGCTATTTTCTAATTTCAGAATTTTAACTTTTGAGCCTTAATACCAGTCAAGCGGTATTATAACTCCTTCGAATATTTTACTTTTAATTATTTAAAGAGTTCTTAGAAAAAGCGTACTTCACATTAATTCACTTCAAACAACATTTGTAGGGAAAACTAAAAAGGTGTATTAAAAATGCATACTTTCATTAATGAACATTTTGAATCGTAAATTCCCAATTTCAGGACTATATGCCACAGCTGTCGGGTATCGGGTTGTGTGTGGTGAACCTGATGGACGACATGCAGGAGTACACCCGCGGACTCTTCCTGCTAATGTGAGTGCACCTCCCCCCCCTCCCCTGCCCACGCCGTCGAGGATCCCCTCTGACCACCGTTTCGATTCACAGGTACTGCGGTCCGGCCATCCTGCTGTCCTACCTGTACATCCGCACCTCCCAGGAGCTGCGCCCGCCCGACGGACCCTTCGCCGTGATGATGTACGAGCACCGCGCGGATGTGCGGATGCGGCAGAGGTGAGTACTCGCCGTGATTCAGCTGAAATATTAGAGGGACTGGCAGACTGGCAGACTGGACTGCCTGCTAATTGGGCTGATTAATTCGGTGATTTACCAATCAGGACAGGCCGTCCCATGTCCGTGTAACCCGATACCCCATCGCTCTGCCAACGCTCTGGACCAACCCCTTGGCCACCGCTAATGAGCCATCGTCCTTCCAGTGGCTGTTCTTTAATGAGTTCCAATTTCTTGAGCCACTTTTTCTGCTTCCCCCAATATTACAGTTTAAGGGTGAATACAATGCCTTGGCTTTTTCAAGACTTTGGCTAGGAAGTCTTGGAGTTTGCGGTATTACGAAGAGTATCTATTAGAGTATCTATTAGAGTATCTATTAGAGTATCTATTATAAAAACTGCTGTGCCAATAACCTTTTTAGGAATTCAATTAAACAGTGACTGGACTTTTAAGATATGCCGTAATGAAGTCAGATGAATAAGACTACGACAGATAAGAATAGCAATTGAAAAGTCATAGGACAACTATTTTGAATAGATTACTTTTGTCTACACATACATTATGGAATCCCCCAAAAACTCCAGCAATAATGGCCCTCCAAATACTTTAATTTAAAAGTCTTTCAATTTGGAATACTTAAAAAAGTTTTTTTTTTTAATTTTAAACTAAATTTTTACTATAATCTATATTAACATAAATATGTAAAATAGTATAAGTTAAAATACTTATACATTTGCAATATATTTATTTATATTTAAAAGAATCGAATTTCTAACTAACTAACCTCTTAGTTATTTATTTAATTGCGTTATAGAATTTCCATAAGCATTTCAGTATTAATGACACTTTCAGGACATTAATTAACATGTATTTTACAAATATTTCGAACAGTTTTTTATAATCCATATATATACATAAATATTTAACAGGAACTTAAGCCTATTTGTCACACCTTTGAGTGAATCTGTTGTTGCGCCCACCTCTGTCCTTGCAGGAACTCCTCCACATCCTCGGTGGAGCCTCGCCAGCTGAGCGGTGGGGGCGTGGCCGGGCTGAGCAACGGGGGCGGCAGCACCGCCCGCTCCTACGACTTGTACAGCGCCGAACTGGACGTGCATCGCGAGAAGCGGAAGCAGCGCAACTTCGGCAGCATGGCCGCCACCCAGGTGGTGTGCATGTGCCCCCTGATGATCCTGCGCTTCGCCAGGCTCTCGCTGGAGGAGACGTACGAGAACACCAAGCACTTCGACTTCACCTACCTGATGTTCGTGTGGATGGCCTTCCTGCCCACGGTCATCTTTCCGTGCATCTACGCTTCGCAAATCTTGCCCAGGTGAGCACTTCGCTTGTAGACTTGCTTTCCAATCCGTTCCTCATCCTCATCCGACCTCCCTCATCCCACCATTGTGCTCCGCAGGGACGAACAGGAGCGCCTGAGGGGCTATTTCCGGCTCTCCTCGAAACGCAAACCGAAGACGCAGCGCCGCAGTGATGCTGGTGGCTCTCGCGAGGATTCCATTGAGAAGGAGGAGGCTTCGTCGCAGGGGATTGGTGTCCATCATGTCGGCGAGCCGCACAAGCATGCCTCCAAGTTGCGGCACGAGCGGGAGGTGCGTCTGCCAGGACATGGCGGTGATCGCTATACGGGAGCACCCCACCGACAGGGCAAGGATAGGGAGAGGCAGCGGGATAGGGATCGTGAGAGGGACAGGGAGAGGGATAGGGACAGGGATAGGGAGAGGGACAGGGAGAGGGGCAGAGATAGGGATAGAGATGGGGACCGCGAGAGGCAGAGGGCGGGTGGTCGTGGAGCCGGCGATGCCGGGGTGGTCAACAATCTGGGCAAGGATGTGCGCGGCAAGAAGCACGACGTCAAGATCAACATTATCTCGGATGGGGGCGGTCATTCCGTCCACCGCAAGCAGCCGGGTGGCAGCAGCTCCAGCAACAACAACAACAACAACAACAGCAGCAGTGGCCAGCGGAGTCGCCCCAATCCCGGCCAGCGGCACGGCAAGCTGCCCGCCGAGTGCCTGTCCAATGTGACCGCCTCTACATTTTGCAACGGCAGCGGCAGCGTGACCGGAACCGGAAACGGCACCGGAAACGGCCTGGGCAGCGTACTCATCCCGGACGACAGCAGCACCAGCAACTATGGCGACGGCGAGGAGAGCTCCGTGGTCAGCAGCATGATGGTGCCGCCGCAGCGCTGGCCAGGATTAGGCTCCGCCGGTGGTGGTGGTGGTGGAGTGCTCCGCCACAAGGACGTCTCCTTTAGCGAATGCAGCAGCAGCACCTTCTCGTCGAGCACCCTGGAGCGCGACCTGGAGATCATGGACCAGCTGGAGCGGGAGCGCAGCATGGACATCCAGGAGATGCTGCAGCGGGAACGGGAGCGGGACAAGGTGCGTCGCCAGTTGCCGGACATCGAGAAGCTCTACGCCCAGCGTTCGCCCAAGGGGAAACGAGTTGAGGGAGCGGGAGCGGTCCTGGCGCTCGTCATGCCCGGCAGCGATCCGCTGAGCAGCCTCTCCCAATCCCAGTCCCTGTCCACGGAATACAGCCTGTGCTCCACCTTGGAGACCAGCGGCGGCGGAGGCGGAGGCGTCATGCCTGCTGGCCAGGAGGAGGGGCTGCAGCATCTGCAGGCGATGGAGGAGGAGGAGGTGGTGCCGCCGGACTTCTACGACAGCTACACGCCCGGCGGCGCCCAGAATCTGCCGCCCGTGCAGTTGGCCTCCGGCGCGGTGCCCGCCTACCAGTACCAGTACTCCCGCAATCGGCTGAGCCGGAAGAGTTCCGGTTCCGGGTCGGGTCACCACCACCATGGTGGCCATCATCATGGCCAGCATGGTGGCGGGGGCGTTGGGGGCGTGGCCGGCGGACGGGGCTCGAAGCGGGACAGCTTCAATTCGCTAAACGGCACCGATCTGATTGCCGGCGCCTTCTGCGAACTGGATCCCACACAGCCGCTTAACAAGATGGCCCTGATCGAGGGCCGGATGCGGCGGAGTAGTCCGCGGAACGCCAGCTTCAGCTCCGGATCCGGGGTGTCCGGGGGGCGCAGCTCGATGAAGTCGTCGTCGCGGGACTACGACTACGGGCACGGCTCCTCCTCGCACTCGGCGCATCCGGAACTGGACTTCAGGGAGAACATCTTTGCAGAGCTGTAGGATGTGATCCGGGATGCGATGGACACGAGATACTGATGATGAAGATGATGATGATGGAGAAACGAAAAGCTTTACGGTCACGGATTTGCCACGAGTTGTGCAGCCCAGGAGCTACGTGTTTAAGTAGGAGAATTTGAAGCAGGAGCTGTATTTTTTTTTTGTAGAGTATGGGTGGGACTTTTTCTAGCGGAGGCAGTTGCTCATCAGAGAACAAAATGTATGGGGATTATGGAATACTTGGTAGGGAACTCCAGGCTTACGGAGAAACAGATACATTTACACCTAAATGCATAAGATATACTAAATAATATAGAACGAGTTATTGGAATACTTCGCCCAACTGGTTGTTGACTAATGATTGTTGATTGTTGCGATCGGAGAGCAGATCAGAGATCACAGATCACAGAGTTTAGGGATCACAGATCGCAGTTTAGAGATCAGAGTTTAGAGAGAAGTGAAAACTGTGCCAAGAATACGAAGGGAAAGCACTCCCACAAAACATACATATACATATATATATATGTCTTTTAAATGTTGCCAGCTTTGACGAGCGGCAGGATGAGTCAGTGTTTTTAAACTTTCCCAAGCTACATACATATATGGATATATACGATACGATATATACACTAGACATATGCTAAGACATATTGAATATTACCAAATCAAATGCAAAGTTTATTGAATGTTAAATCAAAGTCAAAATACGAAATACAAAATACAAAATACAAAATCGGGATAAACCATAAAAGTTATAGCTGTTAAGACAGGGCAATTCTTCTGAGCCCCAAAGAATTGCGCCAAAAAAAACACACACACACACACACACATAGAGGAACCAGCAGGATTCCAGATGCAGATCCTGATCCTGATCCCTTCTAGATATACAGACCCATATACTTACCCCTAATTGTGCAAGTGTCCGTGCGTGTGTCTAGCAATAAGTTCATTTTTTCTGCGCCGCTCCGCAGGCTGTTTGTTGTGATGGGTCGGTGGTTCGCTGGTTCGGTGGTGCGGTGGTGCAGTGGTGCCGCCGTGGTGTGAGCAAAACTAATAAAAAACAATTTTTATGTGAGTTGAACACACAAAAGCAAATCTCTCATTGACAGCGTTTTATTTGGGAGGTGTCCATCAGTGTATACCATTAAATCCCTTTCAGCTCTGCTCCCTTGGGCCGTAGGTATGTAGGCCTGCACGGAGAGAAAAGCCTATGTGATATTATGAACAGATTTTTTATGACGAAAATTTAAAGAAGAATTAGAGAATATCAACATATGGTTAAATTTAGGATTTTTATTTTAATAAAACTCCTCGGGCTTTTTATTTTAAGGTTTGAAATTTGATTTTTTTTAATTTTGTCTATTAAGTGTATATAAATCTGAAAAATAGGAAAACAAATGTATATAAATCTCAAATAAAGATCAGGTTCGGTTTCTGGTTACTAAATAAAAATTATAGGATTGTAATTCCTAAACTGGATTTTAGGTAAGTAATGGCAAATAACACCCGATGAAAAAAATATCCTTAATTTTTCTAATAATGATATAGCATACGTATTTTAGAAGGCTTCAAAAATCTTTTTAGGTCAGCGATGGGATTCGAACTTGGCAATTTTAGTTGGATACATCACTACGATACGATGCATATATATGACCTGCAAAGCTTTTTCTCTCTCTGTATGTTCTTGGGATCCGGGGTTCTGGGATCTGGGCTTTGGGCTTTGGGTTCTGGGCTCTGGGGTGGCGCGCACCTCAATAAAATCCGTGCAAATGCAGAGCCAGGCCCCGAAAATAATACCCGCCAGCGGGGGCCTGCCGCCCCGGGGGAAAGTGCGAATGGAATGGGTCCGGAATAGGGTCAGTGCGCGAGTTCAAAAGTTCATCGCGGGGCCACCGACTACCGACTCAGCCTCCGGACTGCGAACTGCGAACGGCGAAATGCGGACTGCGAACAGCGGACTGCGGCTCCGGTTTCGGCTGCGTCGTCCGTCCACCCGTGACCTGACCCAGTAAAATGATTAAGTGGCGTTATTTAGCAGCTGGCTGGATTTACTTGACTTGCGAGCTCCACTTCCAGTTTGTCTCCATTTGTATTTGTGTGTTCATCTCTCTCTCTCTCTCTTTTTGGGTCTCCTCCTTTTTTGCATAATTTGCGCTGTTTATTTTGATGGCTTAAGGAGGGTAATCGTAAAACGACAAGCATTTCATTCGGAAAAGTCAACTTTAATGGGAAAAACACGCCAGAAACGTAGGGATAGATGGTGGATGTGTATATGTATATACATCTATATATAGTGAATACCCACTCCCCGAGGACGGCGTGCCCCAAAGGAATGCAGCCAGGCGAAAAGCAGAAGTTATGGCTATTACCCGGGGGGTAACTCGGCTTGGGGTCACTTTGTGGGGGTAATACATATACATATACGTAAGTACAAACGCTGCCAGCAGGCAGACAACCAACTTTCAATCGTGTGAAATGCGCTTTCAATTACACGCCGCCGTTTAATGAAATGCGCAAATAAATTTATGACAATCACGTATCACGTATACGCAACGTTGGCAGGTAAGCGCGCGCTTAAGTGACCATTACACACTAACCAGGTTTTCGCTGCTTTCATAATCGGTGGGCCAAATCCAAATCTCTTTGGGCCATCAAAACTGCATTCCAATTGAGCCGATTTCTGGCCTTAACCCCGCTTCCGTATCTTAGTGATTTTTGCAGAGCCTTACACCGCGGAAAAAGTATAAAACTATTTAATGGCCAATCAAATACAGTAGAACACTAGTTCAATGGACTATCACTTTATTTGACACACTTTGAGCTCTTTAAAGTTTTTGCTACTTAATACGATAACTTGATAACACCCATTTCGCCCTGTGTAGACACCGTTTGCGAGTTTCGCTTTTGGGTATTTTAGGCATTCCCGGCACGTTCCTATAAACAACGTTTTATGCCGGTGTTTATGTTTAGTTTGCCATTCGCCCCAGCGGGGGAGGATTGTTATGTAAGTGCCAAAGAGCATATTCAATTTGAATTGGAATTGGAATTGCCATCCACATGTCTCCCTTTGTAGTTATTGCTTATTCCATATTCCGTACGCGGACCGAAAAGTTGAAAGAAAGTTATCCACGCAAAAAGTTAAACAAAACAATGAGGGGGAAATTAAAATAAAATATAACTTGAAATTGAAATTATGGAAAATAATAATAAGGGAGTTTTATACTTAAAAAAATTTATTTCAAGAACTTATAATCAGACGCAATTAAACTCTACCATTTGTATACAAATATGGAAAAATGTATAAAGATGTTATGAGTGTCTGGGACCTATAACCCATTTTTAGCCGATTGTTTATTTAAGGCCTTTAGGAGTTGATTACTAAAACTTACAATCAGATTTTGGTAAAATTAAATAAGATATCATAAATATTATATTATATTTTAAACCATTTACAGTTAAAGATTTAGGAGTTCTTAAAACTCTTCAAACAGACAGGAGTAAAGTAAACAATTGAAAATTGCAATCAGTTTTGACAACCCATTTATGGATTTTCTAGAATCAAGCTCTTACCATACTTTATTTTTGTTATTTTTTTCCCCGTTTTGTCGTCTTATTTTCGCCGTTTCAGTCCGAAAAACAAAGGCAGAGGGCCGCTGCTGACAATCCCCGTCGAAAGGCGGTATAAAACCAGCGGACAGTCGGCGGGCGCTGCACAGTCAAAGTCAACCATCGACGGTCGCGAGTCGCGTCCACGTAGTCGATAACGATCCACAGCACGGTTCCAGGTTCCAGGGTTTAAGGGTTCCGCGGACTCAACGGGAGACGGAGTGCCAGCATCCAACATCCATTAGCCTCACTTCGTAAATCATGTTTGCAGTGGCCTTGACGGTGGCGGCCTTGGTTTTGGCCGGCCAGCAGGAGGTCTGCCGGGCGCAGGTCTCCATCCACACGGACGCCAACACGAATTCGTACAGCCTGAAGACACCCGGACTGCAGCAGACCTTCACCCGGTATTACGGAGGAGCGGCCAAGACGACGCAGCCCCAGAACCAGCAGGTGGAGCAGGAGCAGGAGCAGGTGCAGGAACAGCTGGTGAGTGATTCCCAGTGGGCAATGCCTAGATATTTTACTTCTTGGAATTTTGGCTTATACGGATTTCCACTTTAAAGCTTATATAATGCACTAGGTGCCTTCGAAATATTTATACCCCTCAAGAGGGTATTATAATTTTGGTCAAAACTGTGCAACGCATCTCCGACTACATTCAGTCCATAACTCTACCAAATTTAAGCCGATTGCAAAGAGGCATACCGATCCGATCCTCTAAAAATCTGCATTCAAAATTTTCAATTTAACGTTGATCAAGTTTTTGACCCATTTTCATGTTAGTTATTTTTAAGTTTCCGACGACTTGTAAAAGAGTGACCCAAAATTGGACTTCGAGAGTCCATAACTTTACCAAAATTAATCCGATTCCAAAGTGGGATACCTCTAAAGACTTGTGATCCGATCCTCTAAAAATCTGCATTCAACATTTTCAATTTAACGTTGATCAAATTTTTGAGCCATTTTCATGTTAGTTATTTCTAGGTTTCTGGTGACTTGTAAAAGAGTGACTTAAAATTGGACTTCGAGAGTCCATAACTTTACCAAAATTAAGCCGATAATGCAGCACAAAATCGACATACTTTCCTTGTTTTAAGTAATATAGGCATACAAATTAAAATTTAGTCGTTTTGTAATAACTGCAAGGGTATATAAACTTCGGCTTGACGAAGTATTGCTTCTTTTCTTGTTATTGAATGGCTTTAATAATTCTCTATTCGTCTACATTTATACTTATCTATATATGTTTACTGATTTTCATTTAGCCTGCCAATATAATGCATTAGGTATTTAGACACTACATATTAATTAGTACAGAACACAACTCAATAAATATTTACTAATACCTATATATTTCGTCACATTGTCAATTACCTTGCAAATATAATGCATAAGGCATTTAGGTATTATACCATAATTGATGTTATATTAATTATTAATTTCCATAATTTTTAATTACCGTTGAGTTGTCAAGTAATTCTTTGAAATAAGAAAAATAGTAAGAAGGCACAGCATCCGTTCTTAAAAATATCTTAAAATGTTTTTGGCCCTAGCTTTTAAGATTTTTTTATAACGACTACTCAAGTTATTTTTTAAAAAAACTTATCCCTTGTGTGTTTACGTTTAGAGCGAACCTTTTCTTTAGTACGGAACTTTTATAGAAGAACATTCAGAATAAAGCTTTTTGTATAAAAGAGTTCAATGAAGTCTTAAACTATCTTCACCTCTATACTTATTTACCTTTTAACAAGTCTAGGTACACATTACTTATACACTATACTTATTTACCTTTTAACAAGTCTAGGTACACATTTCACTTTACTTTAAAAAGTACTTTGTAGCTAATTCTATGAGAAACTAGAATGTTGTTCAATTCTTTCTGCAGCAATAACAAGTTCAACTGTCAGGTTTATTTCTAATCAAGCTGCGGTACATTAAATGCCAGTCAACCTGTGGTCATCAAATAGATGATCCCCTCAATGCATGGGCATACTAGAACGACGTCTGCGTCCAAGGGGCATTTCCATCACCTGGCCAATTCCCAGATTCAGACCTCCAGTTAAACGCTCGCCCAGAACCTCGATACTCTGCTCGTTCTTCAGTCCGCCGCCAGTTTCCATAAGCTGCTCCACTTGACCCATGGCCAGCATCACGCCAGTGCCCAAATCCTGTAGGGGAAATCAGAAATCATCTAGTGGTCAATCCCAGATAATCCCAGATATGCCATATTACCTGAGGCCAGGCTGTGGTAATGCCCAAAAGTAGTAGGCTCAGACTCAGGCTCAAAATGGGCGATGTCATCTTGTGATGCTTTTCAGTTTGCAAATAACTGCTGGTCGACCAGTAAGCCAGCTATTTAAGCTGCGAGTCTAGTTTGTTGCACAATATGTTCCCCGATCCAAAAGAAAGATATATCCGGCATGTGTTATGAAACATGATTTACGATTGGCATGCGAGGTTTTTGTAGTGCAGGCAATTAAATTATCGGCTTACAGCTAGAATTTTCCGTAACAAATCCAGACCGACAAAATATTTAAACTAGTTTTGTCGTTCAAATTAAAAATATAAAAATGAATACCATTTGTTTATTATTTAAATAATCTTTTTGAATCCACAAGGCAGATTTTTTACTTTTATTTAGTTTTGCATTTTACTGTGTCACGCATATGACATTTATTATTGTTTAGCAAAAAGGAAAATCAAAATAAAATGTAATCATAAATATTAGTTTATGTACGCTCCGTTCCGTTTGTTTCCAATATATTTTATTTCAAAAAGTGATGAGCACACGTTTTAGGGGTCGGAGAAGACCTCGTTGGCTGCATTGGGATCCGTGGTGTCGGCGAACAGGTTCTTGAGCTCCTCGAAGTAGTTCTTGAAGGAGTCCACCATGGAGTGCCAGGCCTGGGTTATGTTCTGGCCAAACTCCCGGGCGGCGTCTCCGATGCGCTTGTCCAGCCTGGGATCGTCGGGATAGACCAGATGGGGTCGCACATCCTCGTACTCGTTGGAGTAGTCCTCCACGTCGAACTCATCCGCCCAGGCGAGGGTCACCAGGGCGAGGGTCAGGGCCACAATTAGTGGGACGGTGAGGTTGAGTCCGGAAGTCATTTGGCCAACTGTTTTGGCCAACCGCTTGAGTGCGCCTTTTGTACTCCGCCTTCCAATCCAATCAGATTTCGGCCAGACACGGAAATGTTCGGCGCATGTCGAGATGCATCTCATTTGGCCGGAAGCGCCTGCTCATCGTGACTCGGAATGTTCTCGTATCTCCCATCTGGACGGCTGGTAATTGCCCTGCTGTGGTGACCCCAATGGCCTCCATTTCGGACAACTTTCGATCGCATTGCTCAGATATGGCGGTTAGCTTTTGATTTGATTGCAGTTATGTGGAATTGAACCAGTAAAGGAGTGATTATGGTTCCTACCCACAGTTTCGTTATGGGTTAAATTAAAGCTTCCATAATTGAGATTACCGATATTCATCTGCTATTTTTTTTTATAATTGCAAAAAATTACCCAAAATTGATATACAACGTTTAAAAAAGAATAAGACCAACAACTTTTAGGACAGGTTACAAACCAAGATTCGAACGCAGAAAGAAAAGAATTAAGCCTCTAGCTTTTAGAGGTATACCACTTCCCAATCGGATTTCTGTAGGAAAAGTCATGGTCCTAGAAATTCGAATTTTGTTAATTTTTTTGCAAAGCCATTTTTCGAATATTTCTAAAAAATTACAAAAATTAAAATCCAAGTTTTAAACGCAGATCTTAAGGGTATTTAACCACAAGCTTTTATAGTTATACCACTTCGAAATCGGATTTGTGTGAGAAAAGTAATGGTCTGTATGGGGCAGGTCTTAGGTTACTTTCCTGCAAATGCTTTTTTCGAAAATGTTCTAAAAACTGACTGAAAATCTACCCAAAATAATAAGAACTCAGATTTAAACGCAGTTTTTTTGAGAACATAGACACAAGCCTTTAGCGGTTATGGTCCAAAAATGAAGGTTTTGGTGACTGTTTTCAAAGTTATTTTTCAAATTTGAAAAAAAGAACAAATCGAAAAACACAAAATTAAAAACCAAAATTTCACCTCATATTTTTATGGATACGTCACCTTAAGATCGGGTTCCTATTACATAAATTGTAATTATTCTCTACATTGCCATTTTGAGTAATGAGTTTCTCTGTATACAGAAAGAATTAGACTCAAAATCACAATCACCATATCCACATACATTTCTTATCATTTGATAAGAGATTAGTAGACCTCAACTCGATTTAGTTTTCAGGTTCCATTTGCTTTTATTGCACTTAATAACAAACAACAAAAAAAATACACTTGGTGGTAATTGGGGAGCATAATTGGGGGCATCTTTAGCCCGCAGAGCTGGCTGACTCGGAGACCTTCTGGCGCACCTGCTGCACCACATCCGTGACGTTGTCGACGAACGACAGCCACATGGCCTTGATCCTGTCGCCCAGGCCCAGTGGGTCGCCCGATCCGGCCATTGGTGATCCCGATTCGGGGATTGCGGGTGAAGGCGCCTGGCGGCGTCGACGTTGCAGCTTCTTGGTCTTGCCACTGGTCTTGGGACTCACGCGGGATCGGGAGGCGTTGTTGGCGGCCCGCTTCTGGGCCCGCCTCCGCCTGGCCTCCACCTCATCGTCGGCGGGGGCCGCTGTGGTGGCGGCACTGCCCATTTTCCAGCACGGAGCCCTCTTGTGGCGGTGCAGGCTGGCCGGGATACTGCGCCGCCGCCGCCGCCTCCTCCTCCGCCGGCGATCCTCCTCGGAGGAGTCCCCGGCCGAGGGTGGACGCATGGCGTCGCCGTAGCCCAAGGCCGTCTTCGAGTGCAGGGACATCAGGGGATTGTCCAAGTTGAGGTCGCGGGTGAGGGCGCCGCCACTCTGGACGGCCTCGGCCAAACTCCCGGCCAGACTCATGGCGCTCATGCCCAGGCTCTCGAGTGGATTACCCTGTGGAGCTGGCCTGGCCGCAATCCTGGCCAGAGCCAGCGCCATCAGGAGCAGTCCCAGCGTCTGGCGACTCATCGTTCTCACTGTGATGCGACGGCGTTGCAGTGGGGCCTTTTATGCCACCATCTCGCGTGCTTTCCACTCGATTTGGATCGATTTAATCCAACTCCGCCGCTGGGATCGCAGCAGGCTTCCGGTTTTGGCCCCGCTGACAGGTGACAGGTGTCAGGGGGACCGGACGGAGTCTCCGGCTCAGTCTCACTTGCTCGCTCAGTCGGTTCAGTTCGGTTCGTTTTACTCTATTTGCGCTCTCGACTTCGAATTCAAATTGAATCTAAATCTGAAATTATTCCTTTCGGCCATACGCATTCGGGTTTCACGATCTCGCGGTACTTGCACCAGTGCATCCAGGACAATCAGGACAATCAGGACAGCGGAAGATGAGGACCACCAAGGCACGCGGGGGCAATGGCCACGGCAGTCGACTGGCTAATGCCGAAGGACAATGGGGAAAGGGGCACAGGGGGGCCCAGAGCGCATTGCCGAAGGATCACGGTCGTGGCCTTTTATCTGTAAGTCTTTTCCGTGGAAAAAGTTGAAATTCGGAAATTGGCAGTTAGAAATATAAGCCTTATGGGCAAATTTAATTTTCAAAAATTTACTATCTGACAAAACACAGCCTACTCTTGCATGTCATTTTAGCTTCTCTTATTTTGAGTTTAATCTCATTATGTTGGAATGTTAAGAGGAGGCACACAATCTCAAACAGAATTTGGTTACTGTGACGTTATTATTGTTTATATCTATTCATTAATCCGATTAATTAATCAGAATTATTAACTCTATTTGGACTTGTACTCTAAGCAAGTATATTTTCAAAACTATTACAAATTTCAATGGATTTACTCTTCAAGAAGAATATGTTTAAAACAATTAAAAATAATTAGGGTTAGATAATTTATAAAATTATAAAATCTTACGAAATTAAGTAAAAGAGAATAATAAGGATCACCAATATTTTTCTTTTGTCCGCAGATAGATTTCCTTCAACCATATATAGCGTATATTAATATTTATTTATTTTATTTATTATAAATGATAGAATAGTTTACAAAACTAAAGCTAACATAGAAGGGCATAGTACTAACTAAGAGGCCTTCGACTATGGTTGTGATATTAATATACTTTATTTATTAACATACGATATATTCTTTATAAATTAATATACGATTTATGAGGATAAAATGAAAAATATGTGATCTAAGATTCGTACTCCTCCATCTAAATGACATCCCTCCTCTATTTGCAGCAAAATCCCGCCCACTTCGGCGTCTTCTCGCCGTCGGGACAGCAGTATCCGGCCGCCTATGCGCAACCAGGACTCCGGGGCGGTGGCAAGCTCAAGGCCACGCCCGTCTCCCTTCTGCAGCAGCAGCAGCAGCAGCTCCTGGCGCAGCAGCAGCAGCAACTCCTGGCCGCCACGACGCCGCAGGGAGCGGTAGCGGGAGCTGGGCCAGGATCGGGATCGGGATCGGGATCGGGGGTGGGCGTGGGCGGTGTGGGGGGCGTGGGCAACATACCCAGCTACGCGGACCAGATGCACGCCGCCTTCCTGGACTACCAGCGCCAGCGGGCGGAGTTCGAGCAGCAACAGCAGCAGTTGCTGCAGAAGCTCTACCACCACTATCCGGATGTCTCCGCCTCCCTGGCTCCCGGCCAGATCCAGTCGCAGTCCCAGCCCCATGCACCCCCATCCGATGAAGGAGCAGCCGGAGTCCTGGGCGGAGTGGGCGTGGCACCGCAGACGGCAGCCGGCCGCTTCGTCTACCGTCGGCCGCAGTTCAGCAGCAATGGCCTGCAGCCCGGCGGTCCGGGATTCTCGGGAGGATCGGGAGGATCTCCTCCGGCATTGGCTGTGCCCCAGCGCACTGTGGCTGGCGGCGGGGCCGGCGACTTCTACTCCACGCAGCAGCACATGGGCTTCATGCAACAGCAGCAGCAGGACATCCTCCGTGACCAGCAGCAGTCGGTGGCCCAGCAGTTTGCCACCAGCCAGCTGGCGCCCACCACACGGCAGAGCTACGGCATGGCCGTGCCCATGTCCTCCGTGCTGGGCTCCCCCTCCTACCAGCAGTCCCCGGACGTCTCCCACGTCAGCTTCTCGAGCGGCAACCTCAACTACAGCTTCTAGTCGGAGCTGGGTGGTCCCATCCCTCATTCCTCATTCCTCATCCCCCCATCCCCGGTGACTCATATAACTAGTATTTACATATGTTTTGGAGCTCTTAAGTTTTTTTTTTTCATATTTTTTTTGCGTAAATTTTCGTGGTATTTGATAAGAGGAATTGTGTAGGGCAAGCAAGAATAAATTTTGTAAGTGACGATACTCGGCTGCATTTTATTGGGAGAATGGATTTCCAGGGTTGATACTATTGAAACAAGGGCTTCTAATTTAAAACTCTTTTTATCGGCATTGATATTGACTACATTTTGGTGTCATATTTGGGAATATGTTGATAAAAGGCTAAGAAAGCTTTATCATTACATTGTACTTGGTCAAGTTTTTCATGTTATTCTGCAGACAATTGATAAAGACTTTGGCAGCAGGTGTTTGTATTTACCCAGATAAATGGCCCTGTTTAATATTTATCATTGCTAATGATAGCACTTAAATTAACGGGATATATATGGCAGACTATCTGCGTTCATCTCAAACGAGCCATCGTGCTCACGTGCAATTAATGTTTTAATGTTGTTTTGAACGGAACGCCTTCACAGCCGTAATTGCGTGCTGCCATTGAATCTGCTTATGGAGTTTATAATCCCCAGCCACTCGCAGATCCATTTATCCGAGCTGGCCTCCATTGTGGGGGGTATTAATAGATATCCATGGTAATGGGTTCCCCCCCCCCTCTGAATCTGAATCTGAATATACCCCTTCTTCCATTGCCTCGAGCTACGGTGTATGAAAACAATCGCCTTGGCTACCCGGCGGTTAAATGGAATGTGCGGCCCGACGGGTATTGCGCCATTGCAAACATACATGGGGAACATCGAATCCTTTGAGTGGACCCATTCCACCTGTGCATCCACATCTGCACTGCACGAAATCGCCAAGAAAAGCTACAAAATATAAGCCAACAAATCGCTAAATACAATTTAAATCCTAACTAAAATTTGTAATAAGAAATGCTTTAGAAATTACTAAGGTTTTCAAAGCACTTAGAATGGGTCCTAAAAGTATGCAATGAAAAATAACATCATCTTGCGTAATGAATTCTAAACTATTGAGTATGAAAAACTTATTAATAAGGTCGATGAATCAGTTGGAATTTAAATAACACTATATTACCATAATTAAATCTCATCGTAATTAAAGTATAAGCCTTGCATTATTGAGTATTGTATTTAAATATAAGGAGTAACTCATATAATGCCTATAGTTTATTTTTAAGACGGGGGTTTTATTTTTTTTTTGTGCAATTGTTCCTCCAAGTCCAAAAAAAACCACCCCGATATTTGTTCGACTGTAATATCCAAAACTGAGCATGCAATATAGACATTATTCCGGGCGGAGCACTTGTTTGCGGAGCGATGAGAATTGAGAGACTGGCAGACGGGAGATTGTTGTGCAATTTTGTGCCTCCCTGCGCCACTTTGGCCAACAGGTGACAATCGAGTGGTTACTTTGGCCCCCGGGGACTGGCAGAAACGTGTCCTTGGAGTGGTTTCGGCCTCTGTTCCTCTTCCTGGGCCGGACACCTACCGGCAAGGCCATCCAGTGCAGTGCGGGCCAAAGCCAAATGTAAACAGTAAGTGGAAAGCGAGCCAAGAACAAGCCCGAACCGGAATCCGGAGCCAAAACACGACTATTGCATTAGACGGACGACCCGCTGACTAAGGCATTTCCACGACATTAAGGCACCATAAGGCGCCAGCTGGAAGGGTTGCAAATATAATAAATATTGACGATTTGGCCAGCTGATTACCGCCACAAAGTGCAACTAACTCAATTTGAAGGCCGGATATTAATTGAAAAAACGACGCAAAAGCGAAAACAGAAATGAAAGGGGGGTGTAGAGATATTTGCATGGAAAATTCCAATTTAGTATGGGCCGGGAAAATACACAAACACCGGGCAACAGCAGAAAGCAAACATGGCAGAAGGAAAGAAAAAGAAATGAAAAACTAGCCGAATGAGACGCAAAGCAAATATAGTTACTAAATAAGCCCACGTGTGCGTGCGTATCCTGTGAGTTTGGATGTGTGTGCGTAGGACCGCATCCTGTTCATTTCCCCAAACGAGCTGGCAAAACAAAGCGCAGCATTCAGAGCCAAAGACAAACAATGAATTTTGCTGGCCAAGTTCCTTTTGGGGATGGTGTTTCGTCCACCTGTGGCCACCAGCCACCTGGGAAAGCGGAAAAAACTGCAGCGGTCCACAGAACTCGGGTACTTCAGTTAATTTTCCTAATTAGCATGATTTGCAAATATGCTTTACCCCCACAAATGACCAGCAAATGTCAACTGGATGTCGAGTGTTAAATAATTGTCCAAAACAAAGGGTTTTAGAAGCAGCATTTTTACATTTAACATCCATTGATTTTTAAATTCAGCTATTTATTACACTTTTTTTTTTGACTATCTCCACAAATAAAGGGATTTAAAACTGTTTTGCCAAAGAAATATAGTAGTTTAGGCAGCTGCAAATATGCAATAGATTCTTCTAAAACTAAATCCCCTCAATTAGAAGTTTAATTATATTTGGCATTTTCTGGGGAATGGCTCTGATCCCCCAGCTGCCGCTGCAGTTATCCTGGCTCAAAGTTATCCTTGTTGATGGCTCCTAAAGCTGTCGTCCTCGCACTCAGTCAGCCGACTAGCCCCATCATTCAACTTTGGCCGACTTAGCCGGCAAACTCTGACTTTCACTCTTCCACGGACTCAGTGACATTTTTAATACCACCGAATTGCTGGCGATATTTTTTTGCTAGACAATATTTTAGGACAGGACCGAAATAAACGGGCTAACATCTATTTCGGGCCATGTGCGATGCCCGATGTGACGTAAATTGGTTTTCTGGGCCTTTGCACTTTCACTTGGTATTTGGTCGGCTCAATTCGCCATATTTATGGTCGCAGGGACAGTGCGTTTTATGGCAAACAAAATAAAGTGCGATGGTGGAGAACTGCAACTGTCGCTTTTGAGCTGGAACTTACGCTTATGAAACGCACTGTGGCGTGTTATGCGCCATAAAGTATGCTGATCAACTGATGCGTGGCAAATAAATCTCGGCCTGCTTCTGCTCCGCATCATGGCCAAAAAAGGAGGGCACTGCAGTGCTCTTGCATCCTATCATATCATATATCATATTGCGACGGGCCCGCCCCCCAAATCCCCTCCGTCATCATTTGCGAGCCAGTTATAACAATGAGTTTATTTTTTTCCAACATTTCCACATGCATTTCGTTTCAGTTTACAAAATAAATTTAAATACAACGTAAATTCAACCGCGATAAAAAAAAACACATTCAGCATTCGCCATTCGGGGATGAGGGATAAGTTTAAGCTCTGGGGCAACAACACGATAAAAAAAGGTGAAGCGTTCGGTAGCACTGCACTGCATACCCCTTTCCAACACGCCCCCCCCGCAATCCAGGTGAGGTTGGCTAGGTTGGTTTTGGCTCCACCTCACAGTTCAGAGGTCAGCGTGTCCAGGATCTCTCGGTGCAGTTAACAAATTGAGTTTTAATTAAGGCGTACCCTCTACCGACACGCTCTGGGTATTATTGTTCCTATTAGTGTTGCTAGCCAGACGGATGGGTGTGTGTGTTGGTGTGTACTGTGAAGGAGGGGGGTGGAGCGGTGCGTGGGCGGTGGATCCCCTAGTAGCCATAGTGAATGCCGTGGCCGGAGACCGATGTGTGGACGAGGGCGGGTGCGGCAACGGCGGCCCTGAAACGCGGGGGTGGTGATTATGAGCCAACCTTATTAATATGGTCCTGCGAGCCGGATACTCACTTTACCACGGGCCCGGCCAAATGCGTGGCGTAGGCAGGGGCGGCGTAGGCGGGAGCTGCGTAGGCGGGGGCGGCAAGTCCGATGCCGTGTCCAATGATTCCGGGAGCTGCAGGGGGTAGCACACGACACAACAACAAAAACAGAAAGTTAGCAGGTTTTTATGCAGGCAGACACAAAGCATCCAAAGAAACATAAGGTAGATAGACAGAGATAGATGGCTGGGCTGAAAGAGATAGTCGCTGGGGGGATGGGTCGAGATAGAGCTTCCCCAAATTAGCATCGTGTCCACTGTTTGGACAATACCCCGGCCCTTAGGGCTACCCCGCCCACTGCGACACTTAAAGGTTGTCAACGGCAACCAGCTGACATTGCCTGACCCACCAGGCTCGTGGCTCAGCATTCCTGCACAGCGCCCTTTTGTTATGAATTTATCCAATAGATTTTAAGAAGAATTTCTTTTTGAACAAAATGGCGCCCCTCCCGTTCATGGCGTGAAAGCAAATATCACGTATACGACATGTTGAATTATTAAGTATACGACATGTTGAATTATCAAGTATACGAGATTTTCAACCAACAACAAAATTGAATAGTTCATTTCTTTAAGTGCACTGTGCACAAAACCCAGCAGTGCCAGCCAACATCAATCAAGTGACACCCATGTGAACGGGAACGGTGACTTGGCGATTCGGTGATTGGGTGACTCGGTGACCGGGTGACTCGACTAGCTGAATCAGCCAAGAACTGGACAGTAGTTTTGAGACCACCTTGGTGTGTAGAACACGCCTTGACCGGAGCTTTAAAACCTCCGAAACGGATAGGCACGATGGCAGGCGATGAATGATTGATTACTCGGCTGGACTGGTGGTTACCTCACCGCCGAATCCCCACACCCACCAGGCAGTTATATCTGTTTTCTAGCAAGACAAATCGATTGCGGACGGACCCGAAACCGATTATCCCCTTTGTGTGTTGTTTTCCCGGGATGGTGGGAGATTTATCGATTGCCCAAAGCCAAATAGTAAACCCTTATAAGCGAGGAAACAGCAATGATCTCTGACGACATTGACCTTCTTCTTTGGTTTTTTCTTTTAAGTCCTTATCATTTGCACCGTATTGCCGTGATCTCCGTCATATTTTCTACTCCCACCTGGCGCTTTTCTAGGCCTAACTTAAAACAATTATCCTGTAAGTTTTCCTCTTAGTTTGGCAACAGCCTGCTGTAACAAAACGACTTGCATTTACTTTGGAGCCCGCACTATCCCATATCTCAGAGAACCACTATACACCCCGACATCCCCTGCCTGATGTAGCGAAACTTGCGCTTTGTTTCCCGCTCAGAGCAAAGTTTGTTTTTGCCAAGTGCACTTGGCCAGCAGGGCGAAAACACAATAAAGTTCTTTTTCTGCTTTCAGACTGAAAGACTCGTTGCAAAATTAGTTGAAAATCGCTGAGGAAACAGAATTTTGGGGGGAATACAGAAGCGTGCGTAGAGTGCGGGGAGTGGGGTTAGAGTGGGTTAGCGGGTTAGTCCTGGTCACTGGAACTCGGATCCTAGATCCCGATCACCTACCGTACGAAGGAGCGGCGGCGTACTTCACAACTGGAGCGGCGGCGACCGGGGCGTGGGCCAGATATCCGTGCGAGATGGCGGGGGCGGCGCTATAGGAGCCATAGCCCCCATACCCGTATCCTCCGTAGCCCCCATAGCCTCCGTAGCCTCCCAGGCCCAGGGAGTGACCCAGGGAGTGGCCCAGATGCCCCAGTCCGGAGATCTGGACGGCCGGAGCCGTGGCCGCGTAGTGTCCGCCGTAGGCCACGCCCTGAATTTGGGCGGGCGCCGTATGCCCGGCGTAGCCCAGGGAATATGCTGGCGCAGCGATGGCGTGGGCCGGAGCAGCTTTGGTTTTTCATTTTCGGGTTAAAAGTGTTAACAATCAACTAAGCAGTGATGGCCGGCAACTACATGTTTTCTATCTTATTTATAAAACATAAATAACTTAAGCTAATCAAAAAAGTAATCAGTATACAAAAAAAAAACATTTGCAAATATTACTGAAATTTTTAAGAAATAAACGAAAACATATTTTTAAAAAATAAATAAAATTTAATTGCAATTTCATAATAATCTAATCTAAGCATTTATGTTCCCTAGGTGCTAGGTAACAAATTAAATATTATAAAAATACCAATATGTTGTTATCTCACAACAATAGGAAAATTATAAAAGTCCTGTATAAGTCAAGTCCTGTTAACTCGTGACTTATTTTCAAATATTTGTCGTATTTCCATATATAGAATATAGAATATATTTTGATACTATTTAGTATTGGTATTTTCCTAAGAGCTTTTCTATTTGCATACCCTTGCATAGGTTTTTAATAATTTCAGTCATAAATTTGCAGGGAAACATATATATAAAGAATATATATTCTTGAACGTTTTCCCATAGGAACAATTGAAAAAATAAATGGAAATAAAATATATATATATATATATAAACGTATATAATCCGAGGTAAGTTAATTTTAATCAATTTTATAATTAAGGTGTTCATTTTATAAGATTCGGACGACTAAGTCATATAGCAACGATGAAAAAATGTTTTGGAAAGTCGACATAGCTTCATTGTTTTTAAACATAAAGCGTAAGCATCGAAAAATAATCGTTTCATAGAATTTTGTATGATTGTAATGGCTGCAAGAGTATATAAACTTCGACTTGCCGAAGTTTCCTTCCTTTCTTGTTAAAGGTATAGTATAATGGAAGCCGAGCCATCACTGCAGCTACGTGCAGGGGTATAAAAGTGGTGGTGGTGCGTGGTGTGAGCATGTGCTGGGTGGTGCGGCGGTGTCTGGTGTGGATCAGTGGGCAGTGTGGGGTGGGTTTGGCATCCAGGACTCACCTGCGTAGCCGTGGGCGGCGACGGGCGCCAGGCCGGCGTCATTGCTGATGCTCGAGCGCTGGACGTGCGACTGCGAGTGGGCCGTCTGCACCTGGCTGGCGTAGTCCGACTGGGAGGACTGGCCGTAGTGGCCCTTCACCGTGTGCTCCTGGGTGCTGCCCACGGAGGCGTGGTCCACGCTGGGGGCGCTGATCGAGTAGGCCGCCGGACCGCCGGGCTTCGCCTGGGCGCAGGCGAGGATCGCCACCAGGACCACACAGAGGATAACCTGCGGATGGGCAACATGATATTTATGCGGGATTTTATTCAAATCAGCTTCTGCCTCGGCTTCTGCTTCTGCTCCTGTCGCAGTGCGACTCTCTGCAGGAAATTGCAGGCGAACAAACTTTTAATTAACTTGGTAAAGTTGTTCTCTGGCAGCCAGTTGGAACATGACCTTGAAAAGGAGATGCACAGATGTCTATCGCTTAATCGAAACACATACAAAGCTGTCCAATACAAAAACAGGTTAGCTGATACGAAAATTGTTTTCCTTACAAAAAAGAAAAAAAACAAAAAACTTGAACATCCTGAGAACCGAAACTGAAACTGTGAAATTAAGTAACAAAAATCGTATTTACTTTACCGAAAACCTGATAGATTCCCAGAAAAGGTTAGCTTTGTGGTTTCACTCAAAAGAATCAAAAAGTATGATATTATTTTTTAAATTAAAAACTTCAATTGCAGTGCCTGGACAAATTTCCTTTCCCTTTTCTCTATGTTTTTTTTTATTGATTGGCTCTACTAACGAAAGGTAATCCGTTAACCAACCAGACAGCCTAAGCATTTTATTAATATTAAATTTTCACACAAGTCCTGTTCTGTTGTCCTTCTGACCCTGTCACCACTTGTCATTGCTGCATATTTCAAGGCCTATTAACACCCAAATTGGTACAATCTCACTGAAGGCTATTCCTGGCCCAAGCTGACCCAGATTGAGGCCTCATAATTATCAGCCACATGACAGTCGCACAATTAGCATGCGTGTTGGTCTTGCTCTCGTTTTCATTGCCTTGGACATTCAATTTAAATTGCGAACCGGGCTAAGACTGAATGGCACTTGCAATCGGCCGGATGAGGTCGAGTTGTGGCCTGGCTAGGAGCCAGTAGCCAGGAGCCCAGTTATCCTGCCGGCAGCAGAGCAAAAACGAGTGGCAGCCGAGTGACGAGTGAAAGGATAACAACTGCAGGCAACTTGTATCTGTGCATCTGACTCCCTTTCCTTTGCGATGTCAGTCGGCCTGTCAGGGAAGGGCCGCATTTGCAACCCATGGCCCGGCTATGTTGCCTGTGCCACAATTCACGCACCTTGAATGCCATTGTTGTAGTGATTCACTTAAAAAAATTCGACTCAGTTCGATTGGATTGCGATTGGTAACTGTCTCGGTTTGCCGTTCTTTGGGCCTATTTATACGCCTGCACAGCCGCCGGTCTGCTCTCAAAATATGGTGCAAAAAAAAAAAAAGGAAAAATAAATAATGAAAATCGCTGAAAAACAAAAAAAGTGGCGGCAGCCATGAGAACGGGTTTTCATCAGTTGGCAAAGCAGGCAACGCGCAGGCGCGCCGCTCTACGCAACCTACCCTCCCCCCCCCCCACTCCCCTTTTTTTGTTGATACCGCCCATGGCAGAGATCGCTTTTCGTGTTAATCACATCGATTGTTTAATTGGAAATTTGTACGCGCTTTTCCGAATGCGGCAAAAGGAAATGCCAGCGGACAAGGTGAACCCACTGAACCCGTCCATTTGATTTTTGGTCAGTGAACCAGAGGAGTCGTCTTCGACTTGTTCTCATTTCCAGGCTAAAACCCCCCACCCCCCCCAAATCATTCACGTGGCTCTTGTCAAGTGCTTTATTAATAGCCAACCTAACTCCCCCCCCCCCCCACCCTCTTCCACGATTTTCCATGCACCAAATATACTCAGTGCGTTGCACATTTTTGGCCCAGCCCGCGGACATTTTGTGTTCAACTTTTTCAGAGTTTTCGTACCCCGCAATCGCTGCTTTGAGTGGGCATGGTAGCCAGCACTTTACAGAGCTCTCTAATTAATTAAATATATAATATATACAGCAAAACTATAAAGTTACGATAAATAAACTAACTGCTTTGTTGCCAAAAAAAGTTCATAGAGTACCGTGAATGGTGTTAGGGTCTGTAAGCAAACTAGGTAATGTTTATTTAATAGCACTTAAGGTTATGATTGGAATAATAATGAATGTTTAATTTATTATACATACATTTTATTGTAAGCTTAATTTGATGAAGAATTTACATATAATATATAACAATAAATTATAGAAATATACTGACTATACATGAGAGTATTGTTTTATAAATTGTTTCAATAGTTATATATATGAACTGTTTGTTTTATATTCTCACTAAGTTTTATTGACATGCAATGTTGGTTTATTAAAAGTAACTATAGTAAACAGACTATATTATTTCATTGTATGTATTAAATTTAATTTAATTAGCAGTACACTTTATTAATTTATTAAATGTAATTGATAAGTGTAATTCATTGTGACTCTGGTTATACTAATATGATAATACTTTTTATTGGGGATCGCATGTATATGTAGAGACTTTATCAATGAGAATCTCACCTTACACAATTTTAGAATTGGCATGTTAGAAACAAGGTATTTATTTGTTTAACCATATTCGTATATATTATAGGCCCTACAATATCTAGTGGGTATATGCCGATCCGAATAGACCACTTTCCAGTTTATATTTGTTATTTTTTGCTAGTTCTCACGCAGCCACCGCCGAATGGGCGCGGAAATTGGGCAGCCAGCCAGAGTTGGATCGGATTGGAGTAAATTGGAGTGGAGTGGAGTGGAGTGGAGTGGATCGGATCGGATCGGGGTGCTCTAGCCGAGAGTGGGAGCCCCCGAGTCCGAGGTTGCAACTGGGGGTACGGAGCTGGGAGTCGGGGCCTGAGGACCTGGTAGACCTGGTACGCCTGCCGCTGATTGCCACGCTTTTCGAAAGGCAGCAGCAGAAGTGGGCCCGATTTTTGGACTGGGAGGCCTTTTTGCTGGCTTTTGATTTGTGTTTTCTGATCTAAGCCATTTTGTTGCTGGCTAACAATTTTTTGTGGGTCGCTCGCAATTTATGCGCACTTTTGTGCGTTTGTCGTGACGAGGGATAGATATACACACTGAGAGAAAATATTGTGTGTTTTTGCTATTTACTTTGCATCGAATACATATAATAGTGACCTAAGAAATTGAACGTAATTAAATTCAATGAAAGCGATCGACATTTTTTTTAAATATATATCCAAAAATATTTAATATGGACTGTTTGTATTTGGTGTTTTTAGTTTAATAATATTTTGTTAACGACGAAGTACAAATAAAACTGTTATCTGTAAATACAAAGAAGCTCAAATATAAATTTAGACAGTAAAACTTTTAAAACGTGAATCACCATCTGCCACCATTATATTATTTTATGATTTATTTTACCTGTCAATACACTTTATATTGCCAATAAAACTAGTTCGACTCAAAGAGACTTGAAGTTATGGGAGTTTGATTTCAAAATAGTCCTCAATTATTGAAATATTTATTTCACATTCAGTTACACTGCGTTTTTTTACCACTCTCATATAATTTTAATGTCCTATTTTTTGCAATATAAAATTAATCGTTAAAAGAGATAAGCCTTTTACTATGTGGTTAGTGGTACTTTTACTATGTGGTTAGTGGTACTTTTCTCTGGGTGTGGTTCACATGTAGAGTGGGCCAGGGAGCGTTATGTAATGGGCCACAGCTGGCTGTCTGTCCGCCTGGGAGCAAACACACAGAGGTTTCGCAACCAAGGCGACGCTGGGAAATTGCTAGCATTTTCCGACTGTCAACTGAGAAACCTCCGTCAAGGGAAGCGAGTCGGTCTCCCGAATCTGACACCCAAATCGAAGTCGGGGTAAAAGTGCAGCCAACCTTCAGAAGAAATGCGTTCAGGGGGTTTTTTTTTGGGTAGAAGGCGGCCAGTAAAAGCATTATCAAGCTGAAGATGGCGCCACTTGTTTTGGCATTGCCAATTCCGGGGAAGCACACACAATAAGACACAATGGCGTAGAAGTTGTCGAGCAGTGCACGGAAAAAAACACATATATATTCTCTTGTCTTTAAACTCACATTTATTTCCATACATCTTTTCAAACTATTTGTAGAAAAAATATAATATAAGAATATAAATAAATTTATAACCAAAGTTAGTTTCCTTTTTCAATATAATCAAAAGGGGACAAGCCCAACCCCTCGAAATACAATTTCACTTGAGTCGAGAAGATTAAATCCTAAAAACCTTTCATAGATAAACAAGGCCCAAGTAGGCTACAATTTTTTATATAAACCTGTTGGTTGACCTTTAGAATTTGTATTACAAATTATAATAAAATAATATTTTAATTAATACAATTTTTCCAGAAAGGCCCTAAGTTCTCTTTGTAATTTAAGGCTTGAAACTATGTATGTATTTTCTAATTGAGATGACAATATACAAACAAAGCTTGTTTACCTCCATTACTTAAAGCATTTTTGCTTGATTTGTCCAGATAATTACACCTGCAATCAATGTTGTAATAGAGATTACCGCTTATGTCCATAAATTAGCAGCATTCTTACATTTTTATTGTGTTTGGCACAGTGTGAGTGTGCGCGGCGAAGTCAATTCCCGATGCAGCGGCAATCATCGATTGTCATTGCTGATGAGCGCCCTTCCCCAACTCCACCACCTCCACCCCCTCCCCGCCTTGCGATGCCCTTGCAACCCATTGTTCCATTGTGTAATGGCGTGATGTTTCAATTACGTCCATCAACCCCCTCCCCTGCCGCGATAAATACACAATGCCATCTCTGCGGGCGTCGCAATCTGCGAGCTTTTTGTCTCTGACATTAATTTGTATAATTGCAATGCCAATACAGGACAAGCAGTCGGGCCCAGCCAAGTGCAGCGAGCCATGGCTATCTCAATGTCCTTTTGCCAGCGAAAGCACCACCACCACCCAGTCCAACACCCACCACCCACCACCAACACCCACCCGTCACATTGTGGTGTCCAGTGGGGCGAAACACTTCACGTCTATGTGGGTCAAAAAGGCGCAGACAACGGGCCAAAACAAAGCCAAACAAAGCCGCAGTAAAATTTTGGAAAAGACCCAGGACAGATTCATGATGAAATGGAGATATCCTTTGGAAATCAAAAGGTCGACGCACCAATCTACAAAAAATGTTCTAAAAACAAATCAGACACTCACATAAAGAAAACAAATACTTATATTTAATGGTTTTACATATTGTTTTGGATATGAACTCTTCCCTACATAAAAAATAGTTAAATCGATCATTTAAAACGTTTTAAGGAATGTAAAGAAATGGTATTTATGAGGGTGAAAATATATGAAAAGATATGAAAATCCAATTTCTATTGCTAGAGGCAGGCAATGCCACGAAAATGGTAAAATGCATGGGATTTGTGGGTTTATATGTAAGGTAACAGTTTTGAAAAAATTTTAAGCTTAAAAACATCACACGCTATAAAGATCTTATGAAAAAAGTGTCGCTTTTCAAGCTTTGCTTTTATTATAAATTAATAATACTTCGCAAACCCTTGACAATAAATATCTCCAATTTCAGAGTGGAAATTACAGGGTATCAATACGATGGGCTCAGCACTGACAGCAGTTGTAGTTGGCATCCCCTAACTGCTCTTTTTTCGCCGCTCTTGACACCGCAGCCCATCGCTGTCATTGTTTCCATGTCCATTGTCCATCGTCCCATGTCCAGTTTTCAGAGGTTTGAGTTGGCGACATTTGCCTAAATACTTGGCCCCACACCCTCGACCATTATCACACATGCTGTTTTCCATTCCTGCCTTTGTTGGCGTTTTGCGTGGAATTTCCAAAAGGCGAAGATTAATGACCGACATGCCCTGACATCGCCGCGTCATCGTGGCATCGATATCAATGGCGATATATAAGCAGGTCAGATTGGGATGACGACGACTGACCGCCCACAAGTCACGATGATTGGAGTATGAGTATGCAGTGTAGAGCTTAACCCCAGGCTAATGCAGTATTTAAATAGTGTGAAATAATAGCTGACTCGCTTTAAAGTAAACCAAAGGGTATACTAATAATTTAAGTATTGACATTTAATGGGTATTTAAAATCAGACTTTATATTTTCACTACCTAAAATATTTAACATTACTTAGAAATGATATAGAAATTCAGTTTTGGGGATTTTAATATGACTAACCAGATTACGAGAGGTATACACTTGAGATATAGTGCTCTCCA